CACTGTTTTTTTCCCTTGTTTATCTGTAAACTAAATCAAATATATTTCAAGAATGTATTCCTTGTATGTATATATGTACTGCAGATTTTATATATATAACAATGTAATAATATTTAGTATTTTCACATCTAGGTGGAAAAAATTGTAATTTGTACTACTGTCTGTTCAAAATAAATGAAAAGAAACTGAGCATAGTAGATTTGTTTTTCTTCCCTGTTGTACCGAAATCGTATCGAACCGTGACCCCCGAACCGAGGTACGTACTGAACCGTGTGTACCGTTCCACCCCTAGTAAAATGTATTCTTATCATTGGTTGACAGAAGTTTTTGTTTTGAGTTATTGCATAACACACACCAGAATGCCATAAAGCAACGACTCCATATGCATTCACTGTACTTTTACTGCAAGGGTGTCCAATCCTGCTTCTGGAGGGCTCATGTCCTGCGGAGTTTAGCTCCAACCAGCTCCAACACACTTGCCTGTAAGTTTTTAGTGAGTCTGAAGACCTTGATTAGCTGGTTCAGGCGTGTTTAATCAGGGTTGGTGCTAAACTCTGCAGGACAGTGGCCCTCCAGGAACAAGTTTTGACAACCCTGTCCTACTGCAATCACCTTTTCGTGCTTAATTATATAAGAAGTTGATGAATTTACTTATTCATTTACATGAAGACATAAAATGCATGCATATAGAAGTGGCCTATCCTACCAGCTCAACTCTTCCAAATCCTCCAACTCCCAAGGTGTCGATGATGTTGAAGTCCACCAGCTTCAAGTTGGAGAAGAAGGCATTCTCTGCCTCGTATCTGCATTTTTTGAAGTGGAAAAAGGGAAACTTCTTAGAGGTTTGGATAGAGTATGTAATAGGGAATGTTGGAGCAGGAATTGGGGCAGGAAGGCTATTTGTTCGCTCCCGCTCTTTTCTCTCCTTTACCGGGATAAGAAGTAGTTCACGCATTCTGACCTCCTTGTGGCTTGACCAAATCAAATACTGTGAAAGAGCTAAATGTACAATTTTCAAAACGGCTAGCAATATTGCAAAGACAATCTTGCAATATCTGGCTTGCAATATGCAATACAGTACTCGCCTCAAGAGCACGTATGGCAGAATAATAACAACAGTCTTTGCTCAAAAGTGGAGTTAAGTCGCCATTTCCAGGTTACATTTTGAGATTCGGGATGCAGTTCGTATACATATATATATATATATATATATATATATATTATTCATCAGAGGGATCGGAGACGGGCCTCACCCTTTCTCCTCCCTCACTCTCTAAATACAGTGCTACCTCCTAGGAGGTCTCCAGAGCGGCTAGATCGGCCGTCCCCTGCCGCTCCTCCACTTCAGGGCTTCGAGCTAGCCGCTCTAAATACACCAGAGGCCAGTCTCGAGAGACTGATTCCCTTAGTAGGTAACCTGGCAGTGTGGGAGCCCCTGCCAAACGTATCTCATTGGGTCCTGCCCCGAGCGGGCTCTGGTTGTGTCAGTCTAAGTTTTCCAAGGAGATGACGGGTCTGAGGACCGACTTTTTCAATAGGAGACTTTAGCCAAAAAGTCCTGATGCCCATGGCTCAGGACTATCTGAGGGCAGGCCCCTCTGGGGAAAAGCGGTGTACACCTCATCATACGGTGCCCGTCTCTCCTCAGTGCCCTCAGGAGATCGTTCCGTTAACCCTGCCACCCCCGGTGCTTCAGGGCACAGCGATCTCCAGCAAGTGTATATCTCAGCTTCCGCCCGGAAACGTAGCGGTCCTGAAAGGCTCGCTACCTCCAAGGAGGTCTCTAGAGCAGCTAGATCGGCCATCCCCTGCCGGTCCTCTGCTTCAGGGCACCGAGCTAGCAGCTCTAAATACACCAGAGGCTAGTCTCGAGAGACTGGTTCCCTAGTACATCATCTGGCAGCGTGGAAGCTTCTGCCAAATGTGTCTCATTGGGTCCTGCACACTGTAGAAAGAGGCTACAAGATTCAGGGTCACGTCCGCCTCTATTCAACGTGGTGTTTCCCACTCTGGTGGGCCCCAAGCAGGCTCTGGTCATGGAACAAGAAGTAGACACTCTCTTG